TTCTCGCCCCTGTGCAAATTTAGTTGCTCTAGGTCGATATTTAGGGGGTATAAATGTAAAAATTTCGCTAAAAACAGGTCAACAGTTTTTCGCTTATAACTTTTGATCTAATTAGGATAGAGAAAAAAGAAAAGCACCAGTGACCTCAGCACGTCAAGTCGCGTCGAATGATACAAGTATTTTTTATAACCCGCGCACCGACGGGGGTCTGCGCCAACTTCGCACCGACGGGGGGGGGCGGATGACCGCCCCCCCCCCTGAGATCTCGAGAACGAAGCAAGATAGCGACAAGCGGTAAACGGCATCGGATACGCACGGTCAAGATCTACAATTTTTACACAGGTCATTTTCAGGTCAGGTCAAAGATGACGTCACAGGGGTCGAAAAAGTCAAAATGGCGGCGCTAGATATTGAGAGAGTTTTTCTCGAATAACTTTCGAATTAGTCAAGGTAGGAACAAACAAAGGGCATCATCGTGATCCTCTCGTCAATCCGCATCGAATAATATATATGTTGACCTCGAAAGGTCAAGGTCAAAGGTTGACCTCAGGTCACGTGACCTCGAGGTCATCATGTATATCATTCGATGCGTCTTGACGAGCTGAACACAATGAGACCATCCACGCGGCTGTATCTTGTTCCTGTGTGGAGTTATTGGCCAAAAACCTTTGGTGACCTTTGATGACGTCACATGACCTCACAGCTGCCCAACCGCAAAACAGACCTCAAGGTAGTGAAGGTTGATCGTATATGAAGTCATGTATGGTATATGGGGCCATTCCGACCCGTTTTAGTGGTAAAAACAGGGAGTTGATTTTTCCCCCATTGACTTATAATGGGGAGGTCGCGAAATTGACCTGACCTTAAGTCACCGATATCAAAATTCCGAGATATAAAAATTGTAGCTACTAATGACCTAATAACATCCTGCGACTTTCAAAGGCCTCCGACATCTACTGTAGCTCTGGCACGGTGACAAAGTTGCAAAAAAGTGACTTGAGGTTGGGTCATTCAAAGTGACCTGGTGACCTGACCTCCTCGAAAGGTAGGAGGTTCAAACTTGCACACCATGTGTAAAATTGATGAGGGAATAGTCATACAAAATTTTGCGGCGCCACGCGCCGCGGTTTGCCCGCTATTCGCGAAAAACCTCAGTGGGGGGTTGATATCCGCCCCTCCCGTCGGTGCGCGGGATAAGTTATATCAGGGTTGGCAAGGGGTGGCAAAAACTGGTTTTTGCCAGTGGTTTTAACCGGTTTAAACCGGCTGGCAGAAACTACGGTGGCATAAACTGGCAAAAACTGGCAAAAACTCAAGTGGCTCAAACCTGGCTGCTTTTTCAGTTATTTCTTACTTTGGGTGTAAAACACATGTCTAGAAGCTATTAGGAAGTACTAAACATGCTGAACTTCGCCTCATAAGTTTCTTGTTGCATGTTCATGTTCCTTACCAATCATTAGCCATATTTTACATTCTCTATTCGCAGACAAACATGCTAAATTGCTTCTAAAATTGTATTATCAAGTTTGTTCCACTTTTCTGCGTTACTCACTCCACTGGAACACAAAACACAATCAGAAAAAGCATACAGGCAAATGAGCACGCCTGAAACATAATAGCAAACACTATTCAATACTTGGATTCCTCTTCGGAAATCCGGGAACAGGGCAACAGCCCAGTTTAACGAACGGTGAAATGGTTAAGTCCAACGCTCGGACTTCTGGTCTGTCTTGCACCTGGCAAGCCACTCTCACAAAACATACACAGATAACTGAAAAGCATGACTCTCAGGACTGTCAGGAATGGTATGAGCTTGACCCCGCCCCCTCAGCTCCCCTCCCCTTGGACTTCACTCGTCATCGTCCTCTGCTGCAGTTTCCTGGAGCATCCGGTAGCAGAAGACGAGCTTCTCCGCGGTTGCGTGCCCAAGACGGTTTCGCAGCTTGGTCTGGACAAGCCCAAAGCTACTGAAAGTTCTCTCTATGGACGCGGAGGACGGCGGCTTTGAGAGGAGGCTCATTGCTGCATCTCCCAGCTCCTTGCTCACCCCAGGCCTTTGGGCAGCCCCGCACCACCACTCCGTTGGAGGCAGCTGCTTCATCCCAGCCGAAAAGAAGCTGCTTGGGAAAGGTGGCAGCTGGCCATGAAACTTAGTTATCTGTGGGTGAAGGTCCTCCTTGAACTGCGCCATGGCCTCATCGAACTCCTCGGTAGTGAGATTCTTGCCCATATACCTGGGGTGGACGAGGTACGCCGCGAGGTGCAGTGACGTGACTGCTTGCGACTTCCGGCGCTCAAGTGTCGCGTGGTGCGGCGCCAGGGCTTGGTTGTCCAGCAGGTCTTGGAAAACCGCCACGGTATCGGCGAGAGTCGCCGAATCCGACTGCAGCCGATCCACTCCTTCAGCTATGGGCTCCAGCTGGCAGACGAGATCCTGTATGCTGCGGTACAGGCCGAGGGAGTTGACACGCTGGGTGACCGTCTCGTCCATCTCAGGCTCGTGTTCGGCGCTGATGGCCACGTAAGCCTGCCGATTCCTGATGAAGCTCTTCAGCGTGTCCACCTGCCAAAGCAGTTCAGGGAGTTGTACAACATTGCCGGCGATTACTTTTATGAGCGGCTGAAGACTTTGAATTTGTTAAAATATGTATGCATACACAAAACTGTTTAACGTTCACTATGGTTGTACTTAAATGTTAAGTTAATATACTAAATGTAAAATGAAGATATAAATTGCGAAATAAACAAATATTTTTACCGCTCCATACAAAACCTATAAATAATTGTGCATGGGATCGCTTACGCTCCAATTTAATTTGGGATTGTTCCATTGATACTTTAGCCGTTGGCGCCAGTCTGTGTCAAACCGATGAATGTATTCCAGCGGCCGTCAGCAAGTTCTTACCTGAGAATTCCATCGAGTTTCTGCGGGGAGCTGCGGTCGCACCGTGCCCTCCTTCTGCGCCAGCCAGGCTCCAGCGTTGTGATGGTTTCGGTACCACTTGTGAACCGCGACCACGTACTTCATGATGTCCGAGGGCGTCACTGCACTGCCCACCAGGTTCAGAAGATGAGAGGCGCAGCCCCAAACGGCTATTTCGGGGTGTCGTTGGTTTATTATCCTTCTCATGTTCTGCATGTTCTTGGCATTGTCCGTCACGAGACCCGTCACTTTTACGCCGTACTGCGACCGGGCTTCTTCAATAGCTTCCTCGGCCAGCAGTGCACAGTTTTCTGCGGTTTTCGGCATGTCCTCCACCCACTTCGAGTTCAAGAAAAACGTCCCACCGCCGGGCGCGTGGATCGTGTGAGCGATAACAGGCGAGATGGACACATCGCTCCAACCGTCTTGCACCAGCGTGACCTCAGACGTCTTTGCCAAAGCCTCCCTCATTTCGGCCTTCATCTTGTCGTAGGTCTGGTCCAGCAGACGTCCCGCGATGGCCTTGCGGTTGGGAGGATCATAGCCTGGTCGCAGACTGCTCACGAGATCTTTGAAGTGAGCAGACTCGCTGGTGTTAAAACTGATGTTTTTGGAATAGAAAAACTTTGCTACCTTGAGATCCAGTTCTTCCTTGAGTCGGTCGCTCGTACGGAATGTCCAGTTGGTGATGTGCTGTTGGCGCGGCCTGGATCTAGATGTGGATCCCGACGGTCCAGGCAGGGATTGTTGATCGGACGCGATGCTTACGTCATCACTCTCGGTGTCTGTTCCGTCATTACTGGTCCTCGAACGCTTCAGGGCTGGGCAGTTATCATAGTGCATGGACAGGCGTTTGGGCCGATCAGATATCGCCCTGCCGCAGGACGGGCAGATCATGCACATCCGTCCATCCACAGACTTCTGCTCAAAAGCACTTCGTATAGAAGCGGGTGGACGACCGCCTTGCCTCCCGGTCATCTTTGAGGGTTTGCTTTGATGGAAACGAGTGTCGAGACCAATCACCAAAATATAAGCACGCCCACACAGCACACTCACACTCCCAATATAACTACAGCATCCCAATCCGTCCAAATCGTCAGTCCCTCAGCCACGTGGGTTTGTTTACACTCGAAAACTAGCAGAAGCAGTAGATGACAGGAAGTTTAAAAAGTAAGCAACTGTCGGTAAGTCAAGTTCTAAGAAGGACGTCGTAATAAACTCATTTTGATGACCAAAGAAAAAAGTACTAAAAATTATATTTTTAAAAGTCAAAAGTACGAAAAAAGCTGCATACTCAAGTAAATATCGTAAATAACAATATAAGACGAACAATTGCAATAGGACTAGGAGGCAGCTCACAAGTAGGGGCATTTCTTCGTGATTGCTACCAAATAATGAAGCTAACACGGCGCAACATTTTCATTCCTGGTGTGACATCTCGTTCCTTGCTAAACTTTGCCTCTGTTGACGCCAAGTAAGTCCATAAACATAAGCAGGAGTAAGATCAACTTATTGTTTAAAGTAATCATTACAGATGATAGTTACACCTTGTTTACATCTTATTTACACTTAGAACTGAAGTGTAAATATAGTTTTTCATTCATTTGTTCAAATGTTGCAAATGAAGTGAAAGTGAAAACTTTCACATGGAACATGGAAATCTGTCCTCACAATAGGAGAAAACGATAATTTTGCTACCAAATTATGGAACGGACATGTAAATCATTTTAGGATTTCATAACTTATAGCACTGAAATTACCAATATAAATCTCACTTCTGCTTGAAAGCACATAGCTTTAATTGAATCCTTCGAATGTGATATGATTAGAAACATGCCTGGGGTGACATTAGGATGGTTTTTAGTTTATGCCAGTTTTTGCCACTTTTTGCCGGTTAAAACCGGTTAAAACCGGCAAATGGCAAAAACTAGTTTTTGCCGGCAAAAATGCCAACCCTGAGTTATATATATATATATATATATATATATATATATATATATATATATATATATATATATATATATATATATATATATATATATATATATATATATATATATATGTTCTAAATGAATCTGTATATAACCTCGCGTTGTGTATTATCTTAACATCTTAACGATATTTCTTAAAAAGTGATACTTTACTTAATTCTTAATGCTACTTCAAAACACCACGGTTGCTCGGTTCCAACAACTTTTATTTCTCTTCTCGTATTTTCACTGCGCAAGATATGCGCCTCGCGCTATGCCTGCTACTCATCCTCGTCTACATCTCCCCCCCTCTTTGGACTGACCTGTCAATCCAACACATAACTAACTCAGAGACCACCTCCTATGGTAGTGGTTCATCGACACTGAGTTTGACCAGTTTGACTAGGGTAGTGTGGGGTAATTTGAACATATTTTTACGTCTTCTCCATTGTACCAAATTCCAGTTCAACCCTGGATGAAGAAAAACTGCTTCAGTAGCGCAAGTGTCACTTGCTTTCACCATGCAAGCCTCATTTTTGGACGAGCCGAGCATACCTTGAATAGCATAGCCTCACTTCTCCACCAAGTCACGGTGTGTTCAAATTGCCCCACCGTGGGGTAATTTGAACATACTGCCTTTACCTGTCATAAAAACGATAGTCTCGCCAGCACCGATGTTGTTTGACCCATAAACAAATAGGCAGAACAATTCTAAACATACCTTCACTTGAAAAATCAACACAACAGCAAAAATAACAGTTGCAAAGTATCAATATCTGCACGCTGCACACCGGTCAGTTGACAGAATTCGCCCCTTTTCAATTAACAGAACGTCTATCATTTTTGTTCGATAAAAACTCTCCCAACCGTACTACATCTGTTAAAGTGGTGCGGGGTGCCAATCGAAACCTGGACATTTGGAGTTCTGATTTTGTCCAATGTCCAATTCGGAATTGGTTGGACAAAGGTAGCAGACTGGACAACATTGGACGATGGCTTGCTACACTTCAGCGCTTTTTATAAAGTAATCGTGCATAGCATTGATTGGCGAATGGAAAGCTTGTTAAGCTCTCAATATAATGAAAACTTTTCGGCTGGTAAAATTACATGATAAGCAATATAAATGACGGTTTTGAGTGTTGATAGCTGCATAAATTTTCGGACATATTTGGACAAATAGTTGACTTTAACATTTTTGGACGGAAAATCAACAAAAATGCCGGAGATTAGACGGATATTAGACGTAAATTTTCTAAAACTGGCATCACTTATCTGCTACTGCCTTGGGTCGAAAATATTGGCAAAAAAAAAACTAGGAGCGTTGTTTTTTTCGGAGCTATCCCTGCCTTCATTCAAATTCTCACACTATGTTCAAATTACCCCACGCTAAAAGTTATTTTGCCATTTTAAAAAACAGGGTTCAAAAGCAAATTTCTTGGATTGAAGGCACTGATTAGGTCATTATACAACAAAAGCCGTTGCGTATTAGGCGCTAGCAATGCAAGATTTTGCGCTGCAATGAAGTTGCAATGACGTGTTGTTAGGCGTTTTTCCTTGCGAAATTGATTTTTTACACTGTGCGTCAACATCTTCATTCCCTGAAACTTTAAACCCCGTTCATATGATAGCCCTTTTAGTTACGATAATTTCTCTCATTGGTCTTATTGTCATGCGACTTATGGATTTTCCGTAATTTTGTGTTATTCACACTATGTTCAAATTGCCCCACATGTTCAAATTACCCCACCCTACCCTACTGGTCTCGTGACTGTTTTGCCCTTCAGCTTGACTGAGACCACTCTGACATGACCGTCAGCACCTGGCATCACCTCCTCCACACGACCCATTGGCCACTTCCCCCGTGGTGCGGTTAGATCGGTCACCAGCACCACGTCACCAGAGGCGATGTCGATCTGAGGCTGAAACCACTTCTGCTTCTGCTGCAGGGACGGCAGGTACTCTCGCAGCCATCGTCTCCAAAACTCCGTCGACAGCTGCTGGATTCGCTTCCAGCGCTGTCTAAGAGAGACATCCTCACAGCCGCCAGGTGGCACCATCTCGATGTCTGATGGTCCTGTGATAAAGTTGGCAGGCGTCAGTGGAGGCTCGTCATCAGGGTCAGCAGACAGCACCGTCAGCGGTCTGGTGTTCATGAGCGCTTCTGCCTTGCAAAAGGCTGTCTGGAGCTCTTCATCCGACAGATCGGCATGTTCCAGGGTTTTCACCAGCGCTCTTTTCGCCATCTTAACCATGGCTTCGCAGGGTCCATTGAAATGCGGAGCACCGGGCGGTGTGAATGTCCATTTTGTGTGCGACTTCAGGAGCTCCCGCTGTATTTTGTTGTTGTCTAGACGTTCCACAGCCTGCCTCAGCTCTTTGGAAGCTCGAACGAAACTTCTTCCGTTGTCTGATGTTATCTCCGTGGGTCGACCTCGTCTGGCTATAAATCGCATCAGAGCCCTGACGAAACTGGCAGTGTCCATTCCATACGTCATTTCTAGGTGAACGGCTCGTACTTGAAGGCATGTGAAGACGCATAAGTATCTCTTCTGACGAGCTTTTCCGCGACCCTGCTTCGTAATGAATGGACCCGCAAAGTCCACTGAGCACTTGTCAAACGCACGGTAAGATGGGCAGACTTGAGAGCTCAGTTTGGGTGCCATCACTTGCGTCTCTGTTTTCTGGCGGAGTTTCTGACATGTCACGCACTGACGAATGCAGGCTTTGATCATTTCCCTCGCCGCAGGAATCCAATATCGTGTTCTCAGTTCAGCCAAGGTGTGCTCTACTCCTACTCCGTGTCCTGCATCTTCATGGATTTGTCGGATGATCAGCCTACTGACTGGGTGTTTCTTCGGGAGAAGAATCGGGTGTTTTGCATTGTAGCTGAGGTCCGATCTTTGCAATCTACCTCCGACACGGATCACGCCGAATTCGTCCATGAATGGACTCAGCTGCCTGACTTGGCTCTCACGACATGCTTTTTTGGAGACGAAGTGACCCGTCTGCACCTTCGTCAGCTGCTTCACTTCTACGGGGAAGGACTCTTCCTGAACTTGTTTGACCCAGAATCTTTCAGCTTCTTCTACTTCATCTGGAGTCAGTTCATTCGACTTAGCTCTCTCAAAATCGCTTCCCTTGCTGCTTTCTCTAGACTTGAGTGCGTGTATGAACCGCCATACCCAGGCAGACACTCGGAGAAATCTCGTCCAGCTAGAGTAGTTCTCTGGCTGGAGCCGGAATCCTGATGCAACCGGTGTTGTCACAGCAAATGTTTTCCTCTGTTCCAGCTTGCGAAATTCACTCTTGTCGAACTCTTCCTCGCTGAATTCCTTTCTTTTTGGCCAGCACTGTTCGCCATCTAATAGATATGCCGGTCCATGCCACCACAAGCTGTGATCCCTTAGTTCTTCCAGACCCAGGCCTCTTGTCGGCGCATCCGCAGGGTTGCTTGATCCTGGAACGTGTTGCCACTGTTCCGGTGCGGTGAACTCTCGGATTTCAGCAACACGGTGCGCTACAAATGGCTGAAAGTGAGCCACTTCGTTCCTGATCCAGCATAAGATATCCATGGAATCCGACCAGAAGTATACTTCCTTCAAGTCCTTTCCAAGTGCCTGGCATACTTTTTTGACCAGGCGCATGCCGAGCAACGCTCCCATGAGTTCCAGTCTCGGAATGGTTTGCTTCTTTGCTTTTGGAGCTACTCTAGCGCGTGCTAGAACGAGATTCGAGACTCGAACGCCATCGTCTTCTGACACCACATACACCGCTGCGGCGTATGCTTGCTCCGAAGCGTCGCTGAATACGTGTACTTGTTGTTCAGGCTGTCCTTGAAATGGGTGGATGCATCGAGGCACAGATATGGTGCCGAGTTCGCCCAGCTCGTAAAACCACTCTGACCACTTCTTTTGCTGGTCTTCGGGTAGGACGTCGTCCCAGCCAGCACCATCACTCCAAGTCAGCTGGAACAGCATCTTCGCTCGTAGCGTGAACGGTGCAAATAAACACAAGGGGTCAAACACCGTCGACATCTCTCTCAGAACATCTCTCTTCGTCCAACTTCCAGACTTTGAACTGCGTTTTGTGGCATCCAGTGAGAGACTGTCATCTCCTGCTGACCACACTACACCTAGTGTCTTCGTTGGGTTTGCTCCTCTGTCTTCGATCCGGTGATGAGAGGTTGGAGCTCTGTCCTGCGCCGGTATCGTTTCCATAACTTCCTGGCTATTTGACTTCCATTTCTTCATCTCCATCCCAGCCTTTTCTAGCATTTCACGAAGCTGAGCTCTAGCTTCAATGGCAGACTCTGCATCCTTGAAGGACGCTATCGCATCATCCATGTAGACATGTTTGCTGACGACTTCTGCAGCTAAAGGAAATTCATCAGCATTCCTCCGTGCATGTTCTTTCAAGACGAACTGTGCCACAAAAGGCGCTGCAGCATTGCCGAAGATCCAGCGTTTGGCTTCATAGACGGTAGGTTCCTCATCTGTCTTCATGTTTCGCCACAATACGCGATGAAACTTCTGGTCTTCAGCCGCCAGTTCTACTTGGAGGAACATCTCACGGACATCCCCAACAAGCGCGACTGGGTGCTGGCGAAATCCGACGAGAGTTTCGATGAGGTCACTGTACAGTGATGGTCCTGGCAGGAGCTGTGAGTTCAGACTCCTTCCTCGGAACTGGGCTGCCGCGTCGTACACAATGCGAATCTTGGTTGATGCCTTGTCTTCACGTATGACTGGGAAGTGAGGAAGAAACCATTCCTTTTTCCCACTGTCCGATCTTTGCTTGGCAGGAACTTTAGTCATGTATCCTTTCCGAACGTAGTCCTCCAAAATCTCGTGATACTTTGATGCTAGATCAACTCCTTGACGACGGAGAGAGTTTTCCAGCCGCACGAGTCGGTGTAGCACAGCTTCGTAGTTGCTGCTCAGCTCTGGTTCCTTCTCGCGCCATGGGACCGCCACTTGATAGCGAGTTCCTGTTTTCTTCAGAGATTCTTCAGCTTTCTTGACTGCCAGCCTCTCTTCACATGATAGCAGGTTGGCTTCAGATGTCTTCACTTCAAGGAGTTCTATGTCCGTCATTGCCTTCATCGCTTGGAGTTCCTCAGAAAGTCGCTTATCCACCAGGTGAGTCCGCAGCGTACGTGCAGTGTTCGTCATGCTCTTCAACTTTTCCAGTTCATACGACTCACCACTCAGCTCCGCTTCACCGATGCAGCCAAAGGCTGTCCATCCCAGTGGCGTCAACACGGCGACCGGGCTTGTTTTGTCTCCAGAAATCGTCTCGATAGGCACGAAGATCGGCATGGTTTCAGCACTGAGACCAATCAGCAAATCTACGCCATCACCTGCCATCTTGGGGAATGGAACGTTTGTCATGTGAGGCCAGTGCTGCTTGATGTCCTCCCATTTCGAACAAACAGAGGCACCTTCCAGGCTGGGAATTACGTTTACGTCCAGCGACGCCTGAAAACTGCTATGCAGTGATGATATCTCGACAGAGCCTGACATCATGCTGACGTCGTTTCTTCCGCTAACAGTGCCAAGCTCAAAGTGTACTTCTTCGCCTTTCAGGCCCAGTTCATCAGCAGCAGCCTGGCTGAGAAAGCTGGCGTCCGAACATGGATCCAGTAGTGCATTCAGCTTTAGGGAACGATTTTGGCACCGTACGACTACTGGAGCCGTTTGGAACGCGATCTTGCCGTTTTTCTTCTCAGGATCCAAGGATGCGACGTTGAAACTTGTACCAGGGGTGACTCCACTTCCTTCCGAGTTCCCTGGAGCTTCCACGCTGATGTGCTCTTGAGCCGTCCGTGGTATGAATTCTCGTGCTTGATGATTCATCTGCTGGCGACTCCCTTGCACCCACTTCCCTGTTTCTGATTTGGCATGACGTGGCTTTTCACTCCCATTAGCATGCAAGAGGCTGTGGTGGGTTCCTCCGCATCCTTCTATACTGCACCCGGGAAACTTCCGGCAGTTCATCCCTCGGTGTTTTCCAGCTAGGCATCTGAAGCATATTCCTTCACTTTTGCAGAAGCCGTATCGTCTGGCCACATCCCAGCTTTGCAGTTCAGCGCAGCTTTCAGTAGGGTGTTCCGCCTGACACACCCAGCAGCTCGGTCTGCTGGTTGGACGACTCGGCTGTTTCCGGGAAGAAAATGTCTTTTTCTGTCCACGAGTCGATTTGAACGTCGGCACGTTTCTCTCCTTGCTTGAAGTAGTGGTTTCCTTTGCCTTTTTCTCCCACATTGCCTCTTCAGCCAACCAATTGGCAAATACTTCAAAACTGTCTTGCCGGCCCACGGTACTGAGCCATCTGTGGTAGTTTTTAATGTAGGAGTGGTGTAACTTTTCCGATACCAGCATGTAGAAAGCTGACACTTCTGACAGGTCACCCTCCGAGCCACTTTCTTTGAGACAGGTGACGAGACTCAGTATTTTGTCAGAGTATTCTTCCAGTCTTTTGGTGTCGTTTTCGTCTATCTTCGGGTAGCTTCGAATTTCGTTCATCTCGCTCCTTACTCGCCTTTCCCATCCACCGTATTTTTTCTCCAGCTCTTCTCTTGCCTTTGTGTATCCTGATTCAGTCAACCGGTAGCGTTCTACTATCCGAAGAGGGTCGCCACTCAAACTATTTTTCAGATACACCATCTTAAGTTCCGCTGAAACGTTAGCGTTGCCCACAAACGCGTCGAAAATCGCACACCAATCACTGTATCCTTTGTGGCCATCAAAGTTGGGCAGTTCGGGTGGCTTGATTCCTTTTATGGCTGTTTCATTTGTTCCATGATGATTCTGACTTTTTTCTCGTTCTTTCCTTCCGTCACTTTTTTCTTGTTCTGCCTCTACACTGGTTTCTGCAGCGGAACTGTTCTTTTCACAATCGATGTTTTCTGTCAATGCTCTTCTAATGTATCTGCTTGTGACATTCACCGACTCTTGAACGCTAGCTTCCACGCTGTGATACATCTCCCACAAGGGGCCCGATTGCACTTCACCACCGTTTGTTTCCTCCCAGATCGCTTCCACCACATCCAGTAGTTCACCGGACTGTTCTCCGAGTTGGCTAGTAATCGCTTGCAGCTCTGCTACTGATGGGCTTTGGCTTCCAATTAGATCATTTAACTTGCTCTCACTCATACGAATTTCCTTCAGAATCCGTTGTTTTGTTCTCATTTTGCTCTCTGGCTTCTGTCTGTCCATAGCTTCTTCATTCGATGGATTAGCCATTCTGCGCGGCTTTCTCATGTCTGGGTCACATGCACCAGGATGTTCTAAATGAATCTGTATATAACCTCGCGTTGTGTATTATCTTAACATCTTAACGATATTTCTTAAAAAGTGATACTTTACTTAATTCTTAATGCTACTTCAAAACACCACGGTTGCTCGGTTCCAACAACTTTTATTTCTCTTCTCGTATTTTCACTGCGCAAGATATGCGCCTCGCGCTATGCCTGCTACTCATCCTCGTCTACAATATATATATATATATATATATATATATATATATATATATATATATATATATATATATATATATATATATATATATATATATATATATATATATATATATATATATAGGTATATATAAGTTTTAAAATATATTTTATAAGTTTTCATTTTTCCTAATTGACTTATAATGGTGAGGTCACGAAAATGACCTGACCTCATATGACCTTTAGGAAAAATCCGAGATATACAAGTTGGGAGTGGGACTCATAATGGATACTAGATCCTGCAAGTTTCATTTCCCTGTGACATCTCCTCTGGCAGTGAGGGCGTTGCGAAGTTGCGACATCTGAAGACCGTGCAGAGGTTCACTTATGACGTCATAGGTCAGTGACCTGACCTGGCCCAAAAACGCGGTTGGTGTCAAAAGATCCGGCTTGGATCAAAAGTCAGGTATGCCAAGTTTCAGCTCTCTATCGCCAGCGTGTTCTGAGCTATCGCGAAAAAACCCTGGGGGGGGGGGGCGGCACCCGCCCCCCTCGGCCGGCGAGGGTTAATTAACTAAGTTCAAGTTAACCAAATTGCATCATATCGCATATCATTCGATTCGGCTGATCACAAGGAACAAAATGACCATCTTTTAACCCGCGCCCTGCTGGGGGTCCTGGATTTCCACGCCCTGCTGGGGGGGGGGGGTGTTTGAACACCCCCCCTTGTAACTCGGCTCCTGGGCCACGTAGCGATACGCGGAAGGCGGCGTTCGAAAGAGCGTAAAAAATAATGACGAAATCACTTCGGTCAATTTTTGGTCAGGTCAAAGGTCAGGTCACCAGAGGCCATTGAAGGCAAAATTTCGCCGATTTCCAGGTCGAATGTCGAAAATTTCCAAGAAGCCAACGCATAACTCGGGAACCAATAGAGCTACAGCGCCGCGGAAAAGCGCATTCGATAGCCCTATTAACGCCCTTTCTGAGTAATTCTCTCAGATTTGACCTAAGGTCAACGGTTTTGCCTGCAGGGGGCAAAAACTGCAAAAATAGCCGATATTTTCGAAAACAGTTTTTCTGCAATAACTTTTGACCCAAGCCTTGTACGAGCTTACTTTTACCGGCATCGTGTTCCTCTCGTCAAGACGCATCGAATGAACTATAACTTGACCTTGAAAGGTCAACTTGAAAATTTGACCTCAGGTCAAGGTCATGACCTGACCGGAAAGGGTCATGTTGCATATCAGTCGATCCGTATCGTCGAGCTGAACACATCTAAGGCGTTTTCATCGCTCTAGCATGCCTCTATCAAAAGTTATTTGCGAAAAACTGTTAGATACCATTCGTGACCTAAGATGACCTCAGGGCATAAACAAGGGTCACGGACACCATTTTCAAGTTCAGTGTGTCTAAACCACTTGTAATTCGGTGTTTGGGAGTGTGTATAATGTCTTTCATCCAAAAGAGGCGCATTTCAATTTTCTCCCATTGACTTATAATGGGGAGGTCGCAAAATTGACCTGACCTTAGGTCATCGATATCAAAATTCTGAGATATACATTTTGTACATGCTATTGCTCTTAGCAATCGCTGAAAGTTTCAAAGCGATCGGTCACTCGGTGTAGCTATGACAGACATTGAAAGTTTTTATGAGGTGAGGTCACTTCAAGTGACCTGGTGACCTGACCTTGAATGGCCTTGGTCTGAAATTTTCACAACATGTGTAGAATTGATGTATGATAAGGTGTACCAAAAACGGCGGCGCTCCGCGCCGCCGTTTTTGAGATATTCGCGAAAAACCACAAGGGGGGGTGTTCAAACACCCCCCCCCCTTCAGCAGGGCGCGGGTTAAGCTCTAGCGTCAATATGTGCCAAGTTATTGGCACCATATCGCATATCATTCGATTCGGCTGATCACAAGGAACACAATGACACCATCTTTTAACCCTCGCCCCGTTGGGGGGGGCCATTTTGCCCCCCCCCCCCTGTGGTTTTTCCTGAATAGCAAGAAAACGGCGGCGCGCAGCGCCGCCAAATTTTCAGTACCTTCCCGGGCATCAATTTGACACCTTCACACCAAATTTAAAGTCTTAGCTCACCTTAGGTCAGGAGTTATTGAGGTCAAACTGAGGTCATGTTCGAGCAAAAATGAGCAAAAAACATGCAATCTTGAAACGCTCACCAAATCTACAGTTATTAAGCAATTTCAAAGTTCTTTATATGGTCTAGTAGACAAAAAGCGGCGCTACAAAACTGCTATCTCGGATTTTCAAAATTTCTGGTTTTTGACCAAAAAAAAATTCAAAAAATTGATTTTTTTAGAAAAAACTTTGAAAAAATCCAACAATTTTCCGAATTTCGAAAAAACCGGAATATATGTGATAGTCCCAGCGCTCTTCTATATACATACCAAATTTCAGATCGACATCTCGTTTTTTGGCCAAGTTATAGCGAAAAAACTGTTCAAAAATGATGACGTCAAATTTTTGAACTCAATTTTTAGCAATTCTAGACCACGTACGGCAAAACAAAGACCACCATTGAACTCCCCGTGACGAGCTGCATCGATTCGATACCCATTTTATGCAAAAATATTAACTTTGAAATTTGACCTAATTTGACCTGACCTTGACCTGACCTTGACCTAACCTTGACCTGACCTTGACCAAAACGTGATCTAAGCTGGCCCCAAAGGCTGCCTGA